AATATATAATAATTTAATATAACTTTTTTTATACTAGACTCTTAAATAAATGCCGCTTTAATAAGTGCCATTTCAATTTAATTACAGTAATTGTGTAAAAGTTATTACATGAATATGTACATATATACATACATACATATATAAAAAAGTAGATTTCATACAGTTATATGGTTGTCTGAACGCTTATATCAGAAAACGTGTTTTGCTAACGGCAAATTTACTGACCTACTATGTGTCGTTCGTTGTCAACAATTTGAGATGCATTTGAATAGCCAAACAATTTTATCTTATTGCATTAGTTAAAGAATGAATTAATATTTTATTTATCAAATAAATATCTATAATACTCGAATTTTCTGAAAACTAGTACCAGTAAAACACTGGAAAACACATCGTATAAAATGTACTATTAATTATTATTAATTTTAAGATTTATGATTCAGCGTTAGTTCTAGTTGACATATGGTGATTACGATCACCATATCTATTCGATCTCTCGCTTTTAGTATCCCATCCATTAACCCCGAAGCCTCCGACCTGCTGCGCGACTAAAGGATAAACGTCATTCAGCGCGGAGTTGAAATCCCGTAAACCAGACTCGTGGGGCAGAATAGTGAAACCATCGTGTTTTACGTGAAACAGTGTCGAGCGACTGGTTCCGGCTACAGGTTCGCCAGTTCGAGGCATACATCCCGACGCGATCGAAGTACGCCATGAGCGTCGGTGTCCAGTCGGTTTTGTACGTGATCCTCGGACTTTCAGGGATATTTATACCTCATTCGGTAAACTGTAATCCGTATCGCGATAGTTATACAGTGACACATCTGAAATATGATTATTCGGAAGAAAGGATTTTCCAGAAGGAAAGAGATCTTGATGAAAAAAACAGTGGGTTGGTGTCATTAATTAATCAGGAAATTGTACGCTTAGTAGTTTGATAAATTGTTACGTCAATATTTAAAAACAATATCAAAAGATTAATAAGTTTCTGCATGCGGAAGGATTATTAGAAAATCTACAAGTAATAAAGTTAAAAGAATCAACGTAATATATTTTATTTTTTAATTAGAAGTGTATTATATGTTCTAAAAATTAAAAGAAATTCTCAATTCTTTTAATCAGCTTTTTAATGATATTTGTCAAGTTCTGTAAAAGAATCTGAGGAATAACGTAAATTATAATTTTATTCTTATATACAAAAATATAATTATCAATTGTCATTTTCTACTTTTAACTTAATTATTGCGATTATATAATCTGTATTTATTAATTTCTTATATTTTGCTTTTCTTTGGTAATGTTTAATTATATTAATTAAGATGCATTCTTTTTCCGTTTGATATGTTTTGTTCGCTCGACGCGTTTTGTCTGCGCATTCTAATTTATCTTCTCCTTTAAAAAATGGAACGTGTATTTAATCATAAAAGAACGTTGTAATTTTTTTACTGACTTTGTGTAGCTCATGCCGAACATATGCAAATATATGATATTTTCATATAAACGCATGACTAACGCTTTGGTATTTAAAAAATATATGAAACAAATTTTCTACAAATTGCTAACATTTTTTCAGACTTATTCATATATCTATATAATCAGAATATCTTTGCAAATATATGCAATATTAATATTAATATTAATATAATACTCGTAAATTTATAACAAAGAATATATCTATACCTAAAAATTAGAAAACTTTTCTTCAATTTTATATTTGTCAAAACACATAATTGTTTGCTTTCCTATAACCTTTAGAAAATATTATAAAATATTTTAATAATTGACATAGAAAATATTATTTATATGTACGTAACAAATAACCAACATATAGTTTGCAGGATGCTAATAATGATCAAAAACCGCAATCGATTTTGGATTCCAAAGACAGAAAAGAAAAAAGAGTTGAAGCAACAAATTATCTTCAAGAGACACTCAAAGAATCATCCCGAGATGATGATTATGACAGAGGTTTTTCTCTATTTGGCCTAGTTGAATCCATGCTATTTGTCGTAGCAAATGGACTCAGCACAGTTGTAAGCAGCATCGTTGGTACTGAAAAGAAGAATTTACGATCAAATGTCAGTAGAATAAATTATAGAAACTATCAATTAATTAGAGTGTTTCCTAACACGGAAAATCACGTTGTGGATCTGCGTAATTTGAGAGACGCTGAGCCCGAAGACGTCAAATTTTGGTCCTTTCCAAATCTCAACAGGTTCATCTTTGCAATTTGATTTATTAAAAAATATAATCAATTACTTGACATATTTCTTATATTGACATTTACTTCTCAGGACCTCCGATATTATCGTCGCGCCAGATATTGTAGCTGACGTTAAGGACTATTTGAAAGATAAGAAAATCGACTTCAAAGTATTAATGTCGGATATTCAGGTAAAAGTAAATGCATATTTCATATTTTTTACATTAATACTATAAAACATAAAACATTTTAAATATTTTTCTAAATCAATTTTAATAATTTATATATAAATTTTTTTAAGAATGATTAATTTTTATATTGAAAAGAGTACTATATTTAGATAACATTAAAATGATCAGTAATTACGAGAACTAAGATTTTGAAATTAATTATGTATGTCATTATATGCGATATATACGGAAATTTTAATGACAACAGATGTTCATGCATGATACTAACACACTTTACTTATAATAATTTCCATGATTTTTCATTTTGCGAAGACACAGAAAAGAAACATCACAGTAATGAATAAATCATCATTTACATTTATGAGGCTACATCAAAAGATTGATGATTGCTACGAAAAAAAAATGGAAAAGAGAAATTTTTCTGTGATTGTTGACATAATTGATTGAGATAATTAATTTTATATGTTAAATTTAGTGATAATTATAGATTTTAAAAATAACTTTAATTTTTGATTAATAGAAAGCAATCTCATATCAAAATCCAAAAATGTCAAAAGATCAACGCGAGGACTTGGTGACCACTCAAGGTCATAGTATGACATGGAAACGTTATCATCGATATGGAGGTAAAATTATGCTACAAGATATATTTTTTACGTCGTAAACTAATCTAATTGAGAACAATTTGGTCAATCAAATATCATCTATCTTTAGCTTAATATATACATAATAAATTCATTTTTGCATATCAAATTTATCCCTGCAATAAATATATTCACACTTTTACAGATATCGTGCGCTATTTAGAATACCTAGCTTTTAGGTACCCCAAAATACTTGAATTAATAACTATCGGCCAAAGTTACGAAGGCCAACCAATAAAAATGGCAAAGGTTTCGACAGGATTAAAAAAAGACGGCGAAAGAAAACCTGCGATTTGGATCGATGCCGGTGAGTTTTTTTATCTAAGACAAATATTTTTTCCACGAATAGAACTATAAAAATATAAGTTCAAAACAGAATTTAGAAAATAATTGTAATCGAATAATATCTTATATGAATATTGTGAAAAGAATTTCAACTTCATTTCTTTTCCTGAGTTGTAAAAACTTTTATTATAACCGTCCTGTTTTTTAATGAATTTATGACTGACCAGTTTTCGATATCGAATTTGCATGTCTTGACCATCATTTGCATTTCGTCCCGTTAGACCATCTTTTCGGTAAATTGTCGTTATATTTGTAGGCATGCATGGACGTGAATGGATCGGTAGTGCCGTGGCGACCTACATACTAAGCCAATTGGTTGAAAGGAATTCGACCTACTCGAAATTATTGGATAATTCAGACTGGATGATTTTGCCAGTTATCAATCCCGATGGTTACGAGTATAGTCATATCGGTGACCGCTTCTGGCGGAAAACTAGAAGCAATCACGCGGAAAGTCAAGAAGATAGTAGGTAACGAAAAAAAAGAAATTCTGTTATTTATCACGATTATGTATTTTATAATAGTAAAAGTTAATAATTCTAGCAATGTGTGCGCATATATTTTTTTTACACAAGTTTGTACATTTGTATCTGTAAGAAAAATATTATTCGCGTTAATATGCTTTTAAAAAATTAATCTTTAGATTAGATTGTACGATGAGATTTCGGATAAAGAAATGAGTGGACTAAATTAAAAACATTTTTATAAAGCCTATTATATAACTCAATAAAAAGTGACGATAAAATTATGAGAAATTTTTTATGCTATAGTAAAATGAAATCGTATGTGTGCAATCTTTTTTTCTAGGTACACACCTTCCAATTTATTACAGTTCGTAACGCACTATACTAGATGGTTCTGGACTAAATGCGAAGGAGTTGATCCAAATCGAAATTTTGCATATCACTGGGGCGAGGAAAAGGAAGAGGGAGCTAGTTCAGATCCTTGTCAGGAAACTTACTCAGGACCGTTCGCCTTCTCCGAACCAGAAACGAAGGCTATGGCAGATTACATTCTGGCAAATAAGCAACATATTCGGTACATAATTGTCTATATTTAATTAATCTAATTTTATTATGCAAACTTTACATTTTATTTCTTTTTTCTAAACTTTTTGTTTTATTTTTTTAATTTTATTCTTTATAAAAATTCTCTATAAATTATATTCACAAAATATTTTATATAAACGTGATATTTTATTTACATTCCCAGAATGTATTTGACTTTGCATTCTTATTCTCAAATGTGGCTACTACCATGGGGTCACACACGTTCGAAACCGTCGGATTATTCCGATATGATGAACGTAGCGAAAAAAGCAATTAATGCAATTACAAAGGTTCATGGCACTCATTATCAACTTGGACCGGTGACAGACTTGATGTATCCAATTTCTGGTAGATATACGTTTATCTATTACCTATAACATATAATATTTCTTTTTTAGTTTTAATATACGATTTATATGCTCGTAGGAAAGATGTGATGTACTAATCTACTATCAGATATTAAAATAACATTTAAAATGTCATAATGGGAAATGTTTGTCGCAAAAGTGCCTTCTCTGATTTCAGGGGCATCCGATGATTGGGCCAAAGGCGTCGCCGGTATAAAATATGCGTACACGGTGGAACTACGCGATCGCGGAACATATGGATTTCTGTTGCCGGCGGCTCAGATAGTTCCGACCGCGCGCGAGATCTGGGCGGGAATTCGCGCAATCGCTCGCTTGGTCACCTGTAACACGTGAAATCGCTCTACTTATCAAATTAATTAATGTTTTTCCCGGATGATAGAAAGCGGATCAATTTATGAAGCACATGGGTAATTACTATCATCTCTGCGATAGATATCGTACAAAGTACATAGGGCATTCGTATCGAGAAATCAGCACTCAAATCGTTATCAGAATGAATAAATAAAATTTGCTGGAATGACAGCGAGAGATAGATCCATGATCTTAATTGAGATCACAGGAACATATTGACATTATCGATATTCGATGTTAATATCAAATACGTGAAATGTTATAATAAATTTTTGCATTTCTTATGCACAATTTTATGTTCCTAAATTAATTTTAGAAAATTTGCCTTATAGTTGGATTAAATACTTGAAAATTTTTATATACAGGGTATTCAACAGATGCTTCTGTACTTACAGTATATTTTGACGGTGACTCTACTGACTATGCACGTTAGAGATCGGCGGATTGCCGTACTTCAGGTATCTTTTATGCGAGTTTTCAAACATTATAATTAAAAAACAAAGTCATCGCAATTTTGTTATTCTTGATTTTTGTCTTATTTTATCATATAGAATCATTTTTTAAATTTTGTTCCACTTGTTGCCGAACACCCCATATTGTATAGGAATTTTATTTTATTTTAATATACTATTTTAATTTAATTTTAATTTAATACAACTGTACAATTTATGTTGTCTTCAATATTTTTATTTTTGTACATTTCTATTTGTAAATTAAATGAAGTATGTGTACCTTCCATGTATACAGAATTATATTTATAGTTTAAGTAGACAGACAAGACAGAAGAGAAAGAAAGAGAAAATGTGTGTGTGTGTCTCTGTGTAATGTATATAATGTAATGTGAATATATTTATTATTCATTTCATTATATCGATACTGAATTCTTTCATACAAATAATAAAATAAATATGACTTTATTTTATTTATTTAAACAACATATTGAGCTATTTTAATATTTGTTATTTCAATTAGCATATATATCTTATATTATAAGGAACATAATACATACACAATAAATGAAAATGATCCTAATATGCGACTAAAATATAAACACGGAAATAAATTTCTATTTCACAATATGTATATACGATGAAATAAATTAATGGTGATTTGTTTGATTAAAAAGATAGATAATAAAGTTAATGTTTGTTTTTTATATATAAGAAACAGATTAATGAGGTAAGACTATAGTCAGTGCACGCTATCTACGCACTCAAAAAGATGTGTTATCAAGATGAATCAAAAATACATGCGTATTTATGTCTTATCGCGCGTGATATTGCGTTATTTCGTAGTATATAAACTGTAAGCTGTGTTATTCGGCCAATTGCCATTTATTCAACTAGTATACCGACCGGCATAATGCTGATTCAGTGCGTTTTAGCTGCCATTCTGGTTTTTCAGGGTAAGTATGCACTTTTTGCGATATATTACTTGTAATATTCAGGTTAAATTAAAACTAAAATAAAGTAACACTAAACATTTTATAGTTTCTAAAAGTATAAATCGCAATATATATCAAATGGCATAAATACCGCAAATATTTTTTTCTAAATTTATCAAATACATGCAAACTATATTTAATTTAGAAATATTTAACACAATATATAAAAAAATATTTAAAACAAGTTTTGTAAGTAATTATAAAATAGATATTTAGAAAACTGTGTTTTCATACGGAGGATTTATCTCTAAAATAATATTATATTTTGAAATAAAAATGACACTATAAAATGATTGAAATGCTAGAACAAAATGTTCAAGTTTTGCGAAAGTATCGTTCTCACATTCAGATATTATTATTAGAAGTTTTCTTTAAAATTTTCTATAGCATGTCTGGCCACCCCCTTTGGTCTGAAACCTAAGATCACCGACGGTGAAGATGCCACACCTGGTGAATTTCCTTATCAAGTGTCTATTCGTTGGGGTATACCACCTCTCGTTCCACTGAACCATGCCTGCGGTGGTTCAATTTTAGATGAGCATTACGTTTTGACCGCCGGACACTGTGTTTTAAAGTACGGCAAGCTTAAAGTATTGGCTGGCAAGCATCACATTTCTAGAGACGAAGACACTCAACAAGAAGTTGAAGTTGAAAGGGCCATCGTTCACAAAGAGTATCCGGGGTACGTTTCCATTATATTTAGTCAAAAATAGATACCATAGACTCCATAATTTCTACCTATTAATTTATTTAATTTAATTGAGGGCCATCTTACAATTAGAATTTATATTATTGCCAGAATATTATTAAAAAGTATCAATATTATAATTTTTGCAAAATTTTATATTACAGAAGTATAATCTTATCTATACAAACTCAAAGACTTTAAAAACACTTAAAAAGACATTTTATCTAAAGAAATAATAAATATATTATTAATAACAATACATTTATATGATAAAATGTTTATGATTACAAAGATAGGTTATCAATATAATTATTTGTAAAAATTCTTATCAAAATGCAGGATTAATCTCGTATTATTTAAAATTAGAAATTAATTCATGGGCTCTCCATTAAACCATTTTATTAATGCAATATTATTTACTGCAATCGAATGTCAATTATATTTAAAATATTACATTTTATTTAAAAACAATTTTAATGTAGCAAATATAGAAAAAAATTAAATTCTCTCAAGAAATTTAAAATTAAGTACTTATCGCAATTATTTTGCAATTCGTAATCCATGTCATGCTATAATGTGTCATCACATCTTTTTTATAAATTTCTTGCAATCGATATCCGTGTTTTCCTAATTGATAACGTAATAGACATGTCTGAAACGTAAAATCACGATATTATCGGAATACTTTAAACTGATTGTGAACCATACTATATTCTTTCAGAGGTGTTGCTCCATATGATATCGCTATCCTGAAACTGAAAACTCCTCTTATCTTTAACAAGAGAGTGTCCGCTATCTCTCTACCTCGACGGAACGAGATACGAACTGGAAATGCTGTGCTCTCTGGATGGGGCTCTATTTCAAAAAAATTGCGCCCGCTGCTTCCTGATGTTCTTCAAAAGGTTACTGTACCTGTGTTGGACAATCAATCTTGTCTGAACAAATTCCCGGATAACATCATAGGCAAAAAACCAGAACTTTATGATTCACAAATCTGCACTGATTCTGTTGGAGAGGTATCAGCCTGCTCTGTAAGTCAAATTAAAACTTTTCTTTCTCCTTCTTTCTCTTTCCTTTTCTTTTACAATCAACCAAATTACCATATTAAAAAATGCTATTTTACGATTTTGTATTATTAACGGTAATGTTATCTATTTAACAAACTGTTTCGTCAATCCATTCCATAAAGCGGCATAAAATAATTTCTAAATTGCCTTTATTTATAAAAGTTGTAAAATAGCTTTATAAATGAAATAATAATTTATAACTTCTATTTTTAAATATACGTGTGTGTTTAGTAATAATAAAAAAGAAAAATTAAATATTTGAATTGTTTGTGCAATTTCTTTTGTTTTTTATAGGGTGACTCTGGTGGTCCACTGGTCCAATTCGAAAACAACACTCCTATCCAAATCGGTATCGTTTCATGGGGTGTTATGCCGTGCGGTGTCAACCGCGTTCCTTCCGTATACACCCGCGTGGCTTCCTACGTTGATTGGATTAAATTAACGATTTGGCTTGACAATGTCAAACCGAATGTCTGATTATTTATATTAAATATCTTTCGTCTTTTCTATGCGATCAATATGCTTGTGAGAATTGTATTATTTAAGACATTATTGTGTGCGCCATTTTCATACAAATTAAAACAACCAAATTTTTAATTTGTGAATAAGAAAAACAGTTAATAATTAAAATTTCGATAAATACTGACAATAATGATGCTATATTTTATGTAATGTACAGAAAATATCAAAAATAAATAAAAATATCAAAAATAAATAAATTTTATAATACCCCATGATTTTTATACATATTTTTAAATCTAAAACTCCTATTAATACATATGAAAGAAAAATAATAAAAATGAATAGTCACACACAATTTTTTAATCTTTTGTATTTTTTACCTCCTATATATATTTTTTCTTACATATTTAAGATACTTCAATTTAATTATTGCTAACACGCACTAATTAATCTATTTAATTAATAATATATTTTGTTGTTCTTTATGAATATATGCTAATAATTTTATCATCCTTAATATCATATCAGCTTAAAATTTAATGGAATTTAAAGTTTGGTATGAAACTACGTGCCTATCAACAAAAGCAATATACTGTAAACAGACTTGGCCCTGTTTGCTTGATATTAAAAATACTGTCCAAGTACGCAATTTTTATGATTGACAGTCTTTCAACGTATATAAACTCAAAGAAATTGCTATTAAATTTGCAACAAACTAATAAAATTGCTTATACACTATTAACTTTTTCAATATTCGAACTGTCAAACACGATCTTCGCTCAATAATAGATTCTTATCTTTGCCGAAATAACAGCACATCAAAATAAATGAAAAAAGCACAATAAATAAACTTATTATTATTGCTTTTTAACAAAAAAAATCAAATTAGCTCATTAGATTTATATTATATACGAATAATTTTAATATTTGTCAAATTCATAACGCTATATTCTATTGCTGCATGTTATAAAATATTAAACTAATAAAAAATAAAGCGCATAAGAGTGACAATTTCTATTTCTTTAATAGAATAGAATATAGAGCTTCTCCATATTACAAAGTTTATATCTGCAATGCTATAACAATGCAAAATTAATTGTAAATGTAAATTTTCTGCAATCTTTTTTTAACAAGAAAATGACCATGTTTCTAACAGTCTATATTCCTATCATCTTAAATATTAAAATCTCATATTAATGGTTTTCCGTTATACATATTTGCCTATTGCGTTGGTTTAAGCTTTCGATATTATTGAAGAATAATGTAATGTTAAGCTCACTTTTATTAATTATCAATAAAATCTTTATTTTTTTTTTTTTATTATTACTTAAATAATACTTTATACTACATATTTTTATGATATTCTAGAATTGGAAATTCTACTCACAAAAATCTTTATTTTTTTTTTTATTATTACTTAAATAATACTTTATACTACATATTTTTATGATATTCTAGAATTGGAAATTCTACTCACAGCGCATACAGTACCGCGTTGAAAGCAAATATTAAACTGACAATATACAAATAACTTACACAAAAGATTTATCGGATTTTTATGCACACATCCCTTCCATGATTATATTTTTAATCTTTATTAATACGTATTTTATCGAAATTTCAAAACCAGGAAATTCATTTTTATCAATCTCGATAAATAAATCAATATACACTATCTTAAATGAGATTATTGACTTTTTGCATGCTTTCTGTCTACTGCATTGAGAGATAATGATCATAATTAGATAACAATAGCGAGACATTGAACTGCTGGATGATCCATCATGATTAAAATGCAGCGTAATTGATTGGAACTGAAAGAATGTTTTATTGTTATTATCCATAGCAGATCTGATGCGTGATTTGCATGATAGACGGAGATTAAACAACTTTGAAACAAATAATCAACAAAAAAAGATTAAATTTATTAATAATATTGTCTATAATTGTTATACTCTTGTTTTTTGTTAAATGTAATCCGTTCAAAGCTATTAATAAATATTAAGACGATTAAAATAAATATACCTTACAAAATTAATCCTTCAAAATTATCCTTCCTACGTTTATTTTTTTATTATTTTTAAGATTTTTTGTGTTATTTAATAATAATTTAATTGTTTTTTCTGAAAAAAAGTTGAGATTAACTGATTAAAAGAAAACTTTAGAAAATTTTAACATAATAAAAATAAAAATAAGTATAATACAATTTCTTCATAAAACTATGGCTTATGTTTCTAAGAGTAATATGTATATTAGAACTTTTGACATTATAAAGACCATTCTTCTTCTATCGCAAACACAAGTAATGTTATTAAATTGAAACATGTAATGAACATGTAAAGAAACAGCGAGTTACTTTGTCTAAATTAACTTTGAGATAACATTTAATGATTAAATCAACATAATCCATCAAATATGAGGAAAGTTTGGTTTGTAGCAAAATATTTCTTATCTTAAACAGATTACGTGGATTTGCATAGATTACAATGGATTATCAATGCAGAGTCATTATCGTACTCATTGTCAGCGAAATGAGCATAAAATGCAGCCAATTCGCTGGATTGACATCAATCGACAAGATGTCTCCTAAAGCAATCGTGTTCTTTGCTCTCCTAACGGTGGCTTTCGCTGGTCCGGCAGTACTTCGTTAGTATACATTATACATATATAATAAGTAACAAGTGTAAATTAATCAAATTAACTGATTGTTTAAAATGTTGGCAACAAAATAATATACAACTTCTGTCTTCTTTAATAAAATTAAATGTTTGAAACAAATATCAATTAAATTATCTTATAATTTCATGAAGAAAATAATAAAAATTAGTCTTGCATTATATTGTTATAAATTACTTCAACTTCATTGCACAAAATTTTTTTTTAACATACTGTCATTGATTTTGTTTGCAAATTTTGTCTTAACAATCATTAATTTTAATTTCAGACAAACCTCATCTAGGTCTTCGAGTACCGTTCTTGCCGCAAGTTGTTGGAGGCAGCGAGGCTCCAAAAAATAGTTATCCTTTCATTGTTTCTCTGCAGCAATATGGTAGCCACTTTTGCGCCGGATCGATCATAAACAGTCAGTGGGTCGTAACCGCAGCACACTGCGTTTTAGCAGTTGATTCTTTCACCGTTAAGGCTGGAAAGCACAACATTCTAGTCACTGAGGATACCGAGCAAACAGCTCAAGTTGCGGAGACTTTTGTGCATGAAAAATATCAAGGGTAAATAAAATGTTTAAACAACAAGTATTAATAAGCCCCAATTAACTCTTATTCAAATTAGTATTTGTTAAATACATAATTAATTGCGTGTTTATATTTTTGACAATCTAAGACATAATACGTTCTTAAATAGAATCCAGTTCTTATCGCACGTTAAATATAGTAATCGAAATTCCTAAGAAAGACGTAGTGTTAGATATTGATATATCACAATTATCACTTGATATTTATAATTAAACTACAAATCTTCTTTTAGATAAGAAGCGATGCACATAGTAAACCTGTAGATTTTTTATTGATACATAGCATTGCTATCAATCGTGTCAAATATTAATTTTTTTATATTAATATATTCTTATTTATTATTTCTTATTTATTAATATATTTCTATACTAGTCCTATTTTCCTAATACTGTATGCCATTTTGTTAAACACAATTGCTTATGAGATTTTATATAGCAACTAATAAATATAGAGTTTTAAATTTTTATTTCAATATTCTTTTTAACTTCCAGTGGTGTTGGCCCGTTTGATATTGGTTTGGTCAAGCTTCAAACTCCATTAAAGCTCACAAAAGAAGTACAACCCATCGATTTACCAAAACCTGGAACTAATCCGACCGGAGATGCAATTCTTTGCGGATGGGGCTCTGTCTCGGAAAGTTGGCTTCCAGACATGCCAGACCAACTTCAACATGTTAATTTGCATTACATCGATCTCGATGCCTGTGACGAAGCTGTCGAGCGTCTGACAGGATCTTCTCCTGTACATGAGACTAACGTCTGTACTGGACCATTGACCGGTGGAATCTCCGCATGCAGCGTAAGATAATAATTATAGATTATAAACTTATAGAAAATTATGATAATCACTCTACTATAAGTATGAAAATTTAATGTACTAAATTCTAACACAATTACATTGTTTAGGGTGATTCTGGCGGATCTCTGTTCTCGATTGTTGAACAGAAGCCGGTGCTTACTGGAATAGTATCTTGGGGCATTATTCCATGTGGTACTCCTGGTGCGCCATCCGTCTATACTGGAGTATCCAACTATAATTCATGGATTCAGGATATAATGGAGAAAAACTAAACACAATTATATTGATAACTTATCAATGAATATTGATAACGTATTATTGTATTTTATTCAATGTAAATCAAATATCTTGCATAAATAAATAAATTTGTCTAAAGCAACACGTATATTTTTTATTTTAGATTATTATACAAGTATTTTAATTTATAGATTAATTATTTATTAAATAATTGATGTATTACAGAGCCTTTTGTAATATTAATTACTCCTGCAATTCAATTCTTTTATTATGTACTAGAACACTATAATTTTTGGTTTTTAGGTATAGTGTCATACTCTTGTCTATGAAGATCTATCTTATCTTATAGACATAGTCATAGATTAAAATAAATCAACAATTGATGAATGATACAATGTTATCATTGATATCACATAAATAAACTCACCAAACCGACTATAAAATACAGTTGATTTGGCGGATTTATTTCAAAGAACGAAATGTCTTCCAAAGCAATTGTGTTTCTTATTCTTCTAATTGCGGCTTTTGCGGGTAAGTTTATTCTTCTAACAGCTTATATCATTTAAAGTATAAAGTGATTTAGTTAGACGCGTGTGAAAAGTAGGCAATAAATAATACGTGATTTTTATTTAACTAACAAAATCAAATTTATTAAATAAATGTCGATGGAATTATCACATGATTTCATGGATTTTAAGAAAATTAGCAAACTTTTGCATTATTAAAAATTATTCTGGTTTTATTGTATAAGATTACTTTTCTTGGCATACTATAATCGCGATTTTGTTCGTGTATCGAAAAAATTGTCTTAATTGTAAATATTAATTTCAGAGAGACCTCAACGTCTCCAAAGAAAGGTATACAAAAACTTCTTGTTCCGTGTGACCGGGGGTAGCGAGGCGCCTAGAGCAAATTATCCGTATATAGTTTCCCTTCAACAGAATGTAAACGATATATTATATCATTTCTGTGCTGGATCCATTTTGAATAATCAATGGATCTTAACCGCAGCACATTGTCTAGCGGAAATTTCTTCGGTAGAAATTGACACTATTGTCATCAAAGCTGGAAAACACAACATTCAAATTGTCGAAAGCACCGAACAAACAGCCCAAATTGAACAGATTTTCATACATGAAAAATATTTCTCGTAAGTAAAATGTTAAAAATAAAGAGTACAAACCATTTGTCAAGCTCTCTTTTGAATTTGAGTATTTGTTTAGTACATAAGCATGTATCATATATATAATATATATTTATGAAATTATAATTGTATATGAAAACATAATCTAGATCGTGATTTTATATCAAAGATTTATATAACTCTTATAATTAGTTATACATATATATGAGAGTGAAAAATTATAATCAAAATTATTAACAAACGCAATATTATCGTGATTATCACTTGTTTATGATGATTAGAGAGAAACTACGTTTCAAATACGTTTAAATAATGCACATAGTTAATTTTGTAGACTTTTCGCTGATATAAATAACATTGTTACTGATTCTGTATAACATTATTTTTCCATTAATAATGCAATTCTATATTTAAACATAATTATTTAATTTATATAATAATCTATATATTATACTATATCTATATATTTATATAATAATTTACATAATATAATACGCAAATATACAATTTTATGATTATTTCGATACTTTGCAATTTGCAGTAATAATACCTCATATGACATTGGTTTGATCAAGCTTAAGGTTCCATTAAAGTTTACAAAGGAAATACAAGCCATCGAGTTGCCTCAACCAGAAACCGAGCCAACTGGAATTGCATATCTTTGCGGATGGGGGTTATTTGTATCATCACACAATATTTTAAGTGATCCAGATAAACTTCAGCATATTAAATTGACATACATCAATCGTGATACCTGCAGCATATTTGTTGAAAATCAATTAGGATTTTCACTCATTGATGAAAACAATATCTGCACCGGACCTTTAACCGGTGGAATCTCTGCATGCGACGTAAGAATGGAGAGAGAGAGAGAGAGAGAGAGAGAGAGAGAGAGAGAGAGAGAGAGAGAGAGAGAGAGAGTTGCAAACTTATAATAAATTATAACGATCACTCTATTATAAAAATAAAAATTTCATGTTTCAAATTCTTAATTACATGTTTAGGGTGACTCTGGCGGTCCTCTGGTCTCGTATTATGGACAGAAGCCGGTGCTCATTGGAATTGCATCTTGGATCATACCACCATGTGGTACATCACTAACTGTGTATACTAAAGTATCCAAATTCAATGCATGGATTGAACAAACGATTGCTAATCACACAACGTTTGTATCGATATGAACAAATATGTTAATCAACTATCGTTTATTTTTATGTAAAACAAATATATAAATATATAAATATATAATAAACAACTTTACATAATGCAAATACTGTTTTTATCCCAAACTTACTTGTGATGTATAAATATAAATCGAAACTTAATTAAATAAAACAATATTAAGGACAAAAGTGTTGTTATTGGTGTTCTTATTTTACTTAATAAATAACAATTGTTAGTGCTAAACATTAGTGACATTCGCTAATATATACTACATAAAAAATATGTAGCAAAATGTTGAAATTTATATCTAGTATATAAATATATAACTGATATAAAATACAATAAAAAGATACAAAATTAATAAACTTGTTTCTTATTCCATGAAGCTGTTAATTAAATTTTTGCAATTAATAATTTATTTAAGTATTTAAGTATTTATTGATTTAATTAATTTATTTAATTACAAAGTACAATAAAATATTATAGAGAGGGAGAGAGAGAGAGTTGCAAACTTATAATAAATTATAACGATCACTCTATTATAAAAATAAAAATTTCATGTTTCAAATTCTTAATTACATGTTTAGGGTGACTCTGGCGGTCCTCTGGTCTCGTATTATGGACAGAAGCCGGTGCTCATTGGAATTGCATCTTGGATCATACCACCATGTGGTACATCACTAACTGTGTATACTAAAGTATCCAAATTCAATGCATGGATTGAACAAACGATTGCTAATCACACAACGTTTGTATCGATATGAACAAATATGTTAATCAACTATCGTTTATTTTTATGTAAAACAAATATATAAATATATAAATATATAATAAACAACTTTACATAATGCAAATACTGTTTTTATCCCAAACTTACTTGTGATGTATAAATATAAATCGAAACTTAATTAAATAAAACAATATTAAGGACAAAAGTGTTGTTATTGGTGTTCTTATTTTACTTAATAAATAACAATTGTTAGTGCTAAACATTAGTGACATTCGCTAATATATACTACATAAAAAATATGTAGCAAAATGTTGAAATTTATATCTAGTATATAAATATATAACTGATATAAAATACAATAAAAAGATACAAAATTAATAAACTTGTTTCTTATTCCATGAAGCTGTTAATTAAATTTTTGCAATTAATAATTTATTTAAGTATTTAAGTATTTATTGATTTAATTAATTTATTTAATTACAAAGTACAATAAAATATTATAGAACAGCAAATTTATGTAACAATATATTACATAATTCGGATATTAAGAACAAAAAATATTTCTTTTTACAAGTTTTCGCAATACTTTATAAAATGCAATAACATGTCAGCTAATAAGAACTTACTTAAACTTTTCCAATCAATTTTATATCCACAATTAATAGTTCGATTAATAATCACGCCGTTTTGCAAGCCTCCGTAACTACTTCCACCGCGGCAAGCGCTTCTTTTGCCGTAGGGATAATATAACGGGCAGGTAAAATAAAACCGAATCTTCCAGTATCTCTCAATTCGATTGTATACGTGTATTTGAGCTTAAGCAGAGCCTTCGCCCAATCATCAGATCCACCAGAAGCTGGATACAATGTTGTTGCACTATTACCGACAGTATACACACTGGCAGCACCCCCTGCTTTTTTCATGGCCGTCGCTGCTTGGCGACCGACATTGTCAAGATCGACATAATCCGGTGGCAGACGTTTGTCATAGCCCCATGGATAAAGTATATATTGTCCGTAAGAATGAAACGACAGATATGCCTGAGAAGAAGATTTATTAATTCTATTTTTCGTGTTAGATATTTTTTTAAATTTTGTAAAAATTTTTGCAAAATTTACTTATAATGCTCTTTTTAAAAATAACATTTAATAGCATCTTTATATTATAAATTAGTGTAACCTTTAAAAGCAACAAATAGAGCAATGCAAGCAAAGTAAATGAAAACTTGTGCAAATTAAATGTGAAAATAAATTATTATATTTTAACCGACCTTGAAATTTGCTGAGCTGATCTCGAAGAAGTTTCGAATGGCATCGGTTTCTGGCTCGGAAAACGGTTTAGCGCCTGAATACGTATCGCGACAAATATCTTTGCTTGCTCCTTTGCCACCCCAACGATAGCCGAAGTTTCGATTTAAATCAACACCTGAACAACCGGCGTAACCACTTTTCCTTCTGTTCTTCCTCCATAAACGATCGACAGTGAAGGTATATTCATATCCGTCGGGATTAATTACTGGCATGATATAATAATCAATTTCCAGATTTTCACTGTTTTCCACCAAATAATCGATGATATACGTCACAGATGCCGGCGATATCCATTCGCGGGCGTGAATGCCTCCATCAATCCAAATCGCGGGCGCATTTGACTTACCATTGCTGATTCTTAGAACCTATATAAATATTTATAATGTAATCTTTAAATATTTTATCACTCACGGAACGTAAATATCTAAATTAAGGCACGAGTCTAATACCTTAAGAGGGCGACCTTCGATGGAATTACCAATGGTCTGAACCGAGCAAAAATCAGGATAAGTTTCCGCAAGATAATCCAAATAACCATTGATGTCAGCCAATCGATGATACGTGGTCCATTCCATTCGATGACCTGGCGCATATACCTTCAAGATTATTTACAGATTGCACGTTCCGTCCCTTCGTGCGCTTATTTTACAACCGCTTCGCAAATTCAGCTCGATATAGTATGAACATACATAAAACAAATGGATTTTTTTTATTTGATATATTATAAAATACTTTTGGTATACTCGTATAAACGCATTCGAAGCACCGTTCTGAATCGACGAAGCGGATTATGCGCGCTTGAGAACCTCACCCCTAAAATGCCAAGGATCACCTCCACCGTAAACACTAGCTACGGGATAACGAAGAGGACGAGGACGTGGATATTTACTTCTGACTCCCTGCCACCAATAGTAACGAGCTAAAAAATGACTGAAAGCCTCACTTCGGTGACGGAATGATACTGATGGTTGGCGAGCGCTTGCATTTATTTTTAATACAATTTAATTCGCGACGCGGTCCAGTGATTTTACGTAGGAAAATAAATAACGCTGTTGTTTGCAAATAAAGCATTCTCTTGCGAAGCGCGATTCAATCGGAAATCGAATCTCATCGTGTCCTGAATAACGGCATCGAGATCGGATCGATCGAATATGCAAATGACCGTAGGAAAACGTCGAAATGCCGCAAAACATATGTACGTGCGAAGACTACGTTCGTGCTTTACGCACACCTTGCACACACGCGTACAAGTAAAGTATAACTGTTAATGTTAATCAGCATTGAAGCAGAACCAGGTTACCGGGTGGTATTCGCTCGAGGTCGATTACCTCGATTTGTTTCCGATTGTTTTCTCTCGTCGAATAAATAAACTTAGAAATTCGATAAGGTCATCTATAATAATCACTTATCATTGTTATCATTTTTTTGAGACATATACACTTCAAGTTTATGACTTTCACAAGAATTTATCAGATAGCAAAAAATTAAAAAATCTCGATAACGACATATATCAATAAAAATAATCAAATTAATTATCTTTTTACATTAGATCTGTGATTGTTTAATTGTTAATATATTGACAATTAAAATCACTGACAAAGATTTCGTCAATATTGGATTTACATAAACTCATATATAGTAGGTTTACAAGTATTTGCAACACTTTATACATGTCTCAAATATTAAAAATACTATATATGTAATTTATTCTAATTAAAACCAATTAAAAATGTGATTAGAATATAACAGAATGTTGTTGATAGAATCAATTCTCAGAAAAGAAACTTATTTCACAACTTACACACAATTACTTTGTTTTTAACTTTAATAATTTTAACTTTATAAATAATTTAATCCCAAATTAACGATAAACACACTACAATATATAACGTATCATTTTCAAATGTATTTTTAAATTAGAATTATCGATTTATTTTTATCAATTTTCTTCGCTAGTTACGAATTGAATCAATGCAAATATTAAGACTAAACCAAATAAACTATAGTTCCTTTCGTAATTTTTATCAGTGTCAGTGGAACGCAATTAATGCTTTTATTTATTATTAATGTGATAATGACTATCAAAAGACGAAGAAAAATGGTGAAAAGCGATGTAATGCAAATAGCGAAGCACAAGTAATAAAAGCAGAAATAATTGATCGCGTAAGCTATTAATAAAAATGCTACTTAAAATATTAAAAAATACATGTATAATAGATTATGTAATATTTCACGTATATAATTATCATCACTATTCAAAAAGTCATTATCAGTTTCGAAATGTCATTATCTTCATTGATAAAATTATATTCGCAGCATGATTTTTCATAATAATATATGATAACAATAATGAAATTATAAAACGCAGTTAATATAATTGTAATAAAAATCTCAAACCTTTACGTCCTTCGAGTTCCTCTTGCGCTTCCGGCGAAAGAGGAGGATTCTCCTCCTTAATCGCTTGTTCTACATCATCGATCAAAATTTCATATTTCACACCATAACTTCGAAATAAAGATTCTATGTTCTCTACCATATTACTTTCCAAAAAAATATCAGCTATCGACACGTTGTTAGACCATATAGAATATGCTACATATGAAAAAAGGAGCAATGTATTTCACTATTGTTTTTCCTACGATCCTTGATAATACATATCTATTTTAAATCGACAATATAATAGATTTTGTTTAAACATAAATTTTTACGTACAACCATATTCATCGTAACGTTGCACCAATTCCTCTACGGAACTGTTATCCTTATGGATCCTCCATACTTGATCCCCTTCGTAAGTGATTCGTTCCCCGACAAGATCCTTTGGCTGCTTCTTGCCTTCACTGATATCACGACCCAGGACTCGTCTTGTTTGACGTCTGAGAATAGACGCATCGGCGACGAAGACGATGATTGCCATCATCATCAACGTCATCCATTTTGCGCGCTTTATTCGTAGCAGTTCGTTGTTGTTCATCTTCAAGAAAACTGTCTTTGAGAGAAGGACGTACATAGCTTTTATAATACGCGCCACGGTCGGTGATCGGGAATAACGGGATTGCTCGATCGAAGATCCGAAGACTGTCGAACCCACTATTATCGCGCGTCGAAGATCTTTGACCTTCGAATGAATGATCTTATTTAATCTACGGCAATGGCTCAATAAAAATCTACAATCAATTAATAAAACTAAAGTTTTAATAGATATTAATTTTTCACTAATTGTGTTTTTGTTATCTCTTTTAATTATAATTTTTCCTCACTTTTCCCCATCTTCACAAAATCATGAAACAAACATGTCAAAATTAAAAAAAAATTATTTATATAAAACACGTATTACCATATACATATTTACCTATATAATGACACATATATTTTATCTTTATCAGTTTCTTTAAGTTTTTTTGTGAATCATAGAGTTCTATATATAAACCTAAAACAAGGTAATTTAAAAAAAAAATGGAAAACGTAAAAATTTTATTTTTTTAATTTATGTTATCCCGTATGTTTTTTAGTAACACAACCATCTGTAGACTAGACGCTATCGCACGGTGCAAGAATTCGTCCCACCGCAATCGACCTATTGATGACGGCTACTTTATTTAATTTAGAACGCCGACGTAGCTCTCTCGACGACGGCGCAACTCGCGGACAGACCTGCGGCTCCTGCATGTGGTTCTCGCATGTTTCAACTGTGATCGCGGCTTAACACAACCGTACCGCGGAGACCGATTAATAAAAGAAACCGTGCCGCGCTACGTCCATATCATTTCAGGACGGTACAGATTTGGGACGAAATCGTAAAACCATGAAGTGCCTGTTGACGATCGTTATTCTCGTGACTGCTGCCTCAATCATCAAGGTACCGTTTGCTGTGTGTGCTCTTAAAACGATTTTATTATATCTTTTTCAATCATAACTGCATTTTTCGGATACCGTTAATAGTAATGATCTTAAACATCCGATAATATAAAATAGAAACTAATTATTTATTATATTAGTTTTTTATCTGTATATTTTGTATCAAAATTAAGCATCCTTAGGATATTTCAATACACCAGATTGACACCTCTTTGTATCTTGCGTGCGTTTTTATAAAATAAAAAACTCAATGCAGAAAATAATCCAATTAATAGCGGAATTTGTTTGATTGTATCGAATTTTTATTGCACAGATTAAACATTAATTTTTAAAATATGTTTTGTGATTCTGACAATAAAAAAAGATTTTACATCGATATATAAGTGATGAAATTTGAAATTTTATCATAAGCTATCCGTTTAATTTAATGCCTGAGAAATACACGTATGTATAAATCGCATAGTAGAAATGAATAGATACAGTATAATAGGTCAAACGTGTTGCTTTTATACATTATAAGGTTTCTCTGGTCGTTACGCCTTGGTAGATGAGCGTGTGCGTGTATGTACACATCAAAATTTGCACGCAAGCTATTCTTCTACGAATGTACATCAATTTAGATTCACTGCGCTACAAATTGTACGCGTAAATTAATTGACTCCATTCTGCATCACTTCTGTCACTTTCAGCATCGTATCTTTCCGCTCGTTGAATTATTCAATACATCAATTTGTTTTTTCAAGCTTATCATTGACGTCCCTTTTTTCTTCAACAAAGTAACTTGATAATTGTTACGTATCATTTGCATAAAAGACATGTAAAAATTTTTAAAAAAATCTAATTTGATTTCAGGCGGAAACATTCAAAGTCACCGATCAGGTGTACTTTGATATCATGATTGGTAGTAATCCAGTTGGAAGAATTGTTATTGGCTTGTTCGGCGGTATCGCGCCGAATACGGTGAAAAACTTTATCACTCTTGCTACCACTGGCATAGAAGGAAAAAAGTATGAGGGGACCAAATTTCATCGCGTGATAAAGAAGTTCATGATACAAGGTTACATACTCTTTTGTGCCTATGAACATAAGAAAAAAAAATTTCTTGAATACCGCATATATAAATTATCATTGTGCTTGTAATCATATATATATTAAAGGTGGCGATGTCGAAAAAGGCGACGGAACTGGCTCCATCAGTATTTACGGTAAATATTTTGACGATGAGACTTTTGCGGTAAAGCATAGCGGACCGTTGTTTGTCAGCATGGCGAATGCTGGAAAGAACACCAACGGCTGTCAATTTTTCATCACCACCATAGCGACACCTTGGCTAGATGATCACCACACAGTATTTGGAAAAGTAATATAAGAGATGCAATTGTAATATCTGTAACAAAATTTGTTTCATGTATGAAAGAAATGATTTTAAGAATGATTCTTTTAATTAATAATTTATTATTATCTTATTGTTATATTAAAAATATATTTTGTCTTTTGCTAAAACGTGTTCTTGCTGACATTTTAAATAATTTTTGTCGTAGGTGGTCAGCGGTGAAGATGTGGTCTTCAAAATCGAGCAGACGAAAACGGATAGCGCTGATGTTCCACTGATCCCTGTAGTAATTTACAACAGTGGAACTCTCCCAACAGAACAATATACTATATCAGACAATCCTTACGAGTAATCTAATGTTTTCCATGCGATATTATTATTAATTTGCACCCTTTCCTAACTTTTCCGTAGATCCATAGAATTATTATGTTCCATTGTTTTATTTTAGACCATGTTTAATTACAGACTATATGTTAGTAATGTTTGCGCAACAATTTTGCAGATTGTAATTATCACAACAATGATTAATTAATTGAATAATCTCATGTATAAGACCGATTGTATATTTATGCGCTTTTCTGTAGACAGTTATATTTCTCATGACGTTTAATAATAATTTATATTTTTTATTGCTCCATATGTTTGCGTGAACAAAAAGACTGAGTAGATACAAACATAAAAGTAGATATTGAAATTGCAGTATGCTTACGCACCATTAGATGTATATTTGAAAATATATTCTTTCATGCATTATTCAACTTTTAAGCTGCATTACATTCGCATTTAATTAGACAAATCCATTAATGCGATATTAAAATACTTGCAGTGCATGGGAGTGGATCAAAGCGACCTGCATTCCATTGGGATTCAGCTTCTCGATTCTCGCGGTTTTTCATTATATAATGAAACAACTGGATGTCTAAGCGATAATAACTTAATACAAAAGACTGATCTAAACTGAAATATGCTCTCGGATTTATGCTCTTATTTTATCGAGAAATCTTATATTTATTTTTTATAAGAAACTATGTACAAAATAAGTGTACACATTGTATATAATTCTCATAATAAAATTATATTACATGTGTAGCCGATATAGTGTAGCATAAGAATGCTTCTTCAATAACACAAGATAAGGTACATTAGACGCCATCTCTGGTGAAGATCACAACGTTAGTAGACATAGGCTGTTTGATTTATCTTGTAACAAATTTATTTTATAATATTTAATAATATAAAAAAAATATAACATTATGTTTTCTGATCTTATATCTGCCTATTATATTACGTAATGGCACTAGATTATAGATATTTTAAAACATGTAAAAAACGAATCACACAGCGATAACGATTTATTTCATTCATATATAATGATATATATCAAAAATAAATTAAATAATGCAAGAAAATAATATTTTTGAATTAAATTATGATTAATGACATATTGGATAAGAAGAAAAATAATCGCATTAGTATACGAGATTGTCGATGACGCATAAAGATTCCGCGCATGCACGTTAGGTTCCGTCGCTTCGTTGTACGCCTGTAAATGCGGGTATCAGGCCTAGCCTTGGCTAGGCGCCTGGATGGTCAGTTAGTCGTTGGCAAACCAGACGTTGCCAGACATCAGTGAACGGCTAAAATCAGATGCAACGGAGAATCGACCGTTGGTCGATGCTCCGAGTAGTAGGGTAGTAATAGATGACACGTGGGTGTGTACAAGAACTGTCATTCATGAAGCCATAACAGATACTTAACAGTTCATTGTGCACAAGGTGTATTAGTAAAGTAGTGATTGAGTGTGTATTGCTTCCACGGTTGTTGGAAAGTGTGCCAGGAAGCGTATGTTGCTCCCTTCGAAGTTCGATCGACCTAAGGACAGCTGGGAGAAAACCCTTGGAAGGGGATGCTCTGAAACGGTGTGTCAGTGTGCTCGTATAAGGTACGCATGTTCCTTACTGCAACGATTTACATTGATGCGAAATGCTGACGTTGAAAATCTGCGGAATGTTTGGAATCTAGTTTCTGTTCCAGTATTTGTTGACTTTTGATGTCAAAAATAGATTTTTGTCGAAAAAAGAAGAATGCTTAGAAAATATCGCGGGCCTGTTTGAGCCGTAAAAAGATTTTTGTTTAATCAATAAATTAATCAAAGAAGACGGTTTAACAGATTGTATGTTAAATTCATTGTCGCGTTAAATAAAATAATTTGAATTTTCTTTCTTATATATTTATGAACAAGATTTCTCTCTCTGATGGTTACAAACTGATTTTGAAGTAATAAATGGAATCTAAATACATTTATGTGATGATAGAAGTATACAGTAGATTTTGTAAGATTTATCCTGTAATTTATTTAAAGAAATTAATAATAAAATTAGTAAAACAACAATGTAGATGTAAAATGTGATATCACGTTTTACCGGCATTGTTGACTAGAAATTGTAAACGGAAGTATGAGCCATCGTGAATATATGCCGTTGTGCCAAGGACTATAGTTTGCAATGCTTATTCAAATTTATCCATAAAGTAAAAACAGCTTTGTAAACAAAATTTTTAAGGAACTTTTTTCTCACAATCTCACAGTACTTTTAATCTTGGTGTCCTATTATGTTTTGTATATTTACATTCGTTTTTTCTGATTGTAAGAATGAAAGAAAAACTTCTGAATACATCATAAAATAGATAGAAACAATTCTCTATTAATATTAAAAATACTAACAATTACTGACAGTAAGAAAATAAGCATGATTCAAGAGGAATTTAAGATTGCATTTGCTATCTGCTATCATCAAGTTTTATTATCTTTGTATTATATATATCCATGTAGGTGTTATAAAAATGTTATTCGTGATTTATATATTAAAACTAATGAAATGTTACAGATAGAATACATATACACTTCTGCACTTGATAATATCTGCGGGGATTATCGCACAACTGAATACATAAAGCCTCCCACGCACACATATAATTACTACTGCGTGTGAGATAAGGAAAAATGAAACAACTTATTCGCACAATTCCACTATTACTGAATAATTTTTCCAAACAATAATATAAACAAATCAAATATTTAGCTTTGCTCGAATGAATCAATAATAAATAAAATATGATATAAGTTTTATCGTAAAGTATCTTGTTATTTAAAAAATTAAATAAGAATAGCCACAAAATTTTGCAATTCGCTAGCTACTTTTATTTAATTTACAATTGTGAAATGATACGTGCTGTAACTATATTACGATAATAATAAATATCAATCATTGTTTTATTAATAATTAATAAATATCTATCTTTGCCAAAGTTTCCCGGAATATATTTTTTAACGAGATATATATTCTTCAAATCACTCTAGATAGTCATGCAGGAGGAGCCAGCTTAAAGAAAAATTTATATTTGTTAAATAATTTAAATACAACATTTTACAGAATATTTCTAAACGTTAAAATGGTCTATGATGATGGTTTATCAAAAACATGATAAAATCCAGTATGATATTTCACAGCGCAATTTATTTCTTAAGTATAATAAGATTATGCATTCTCTTAATTAACTCCTCGTTGTAATGTGCGACACGTTGATGTATTTGCATACAAAATACATCAACTTGGCATGCAATCTGTGAACATTTTGTTTATTGTTACTACAACATTCAATCCAAACATAATTTTTCATATTAAATAAATAAGAAGAAAAATAAACGCCAGGAAGATAATATTAAAAATAACAAATACGGGATAATATCAAAATGTATCCTCTACAACATATATCAAAAGAGAAATGATCCGTGCTGTATAAGTTTTTATAAACTTTTACTGAAAATAATTATAACTATGAATTTTATGAACTACGAATCATGCTATGGAATAAATATATATGCCGTTGTCAATTCAGAGATTTTTTATCACAAGGGGGACGTTATGCTGCACCCATTCTGTCTTCCACACAGGCAGTTCAATAAGTAAAGCCATTAAACGCGGCTTATATATATGGGTTACCCGACATTCAATATATGTATACTTTTTTGTCTTCACCAAAAAATCACTCTAAGTCTTACAATAAATTAATTATAATTTTTCTTATTATTTTTTCCAAGTAGCGTGCAAAGAAATCGAATTAAACATTGCAATCAAAAAAAGCAGTTAGCGCTATTCTTAATTAACGCATTTATTCTTTATTTCATCATATTACTTTTTTTTCTTCTTTATGCATACATAGCGTCATGAAAGCAGCTGTCGAGTCGCATAGAATTATAAAACAAATTAATATCGCCCATAGTGGAATAACATCGTCACGCAATGTCATGTTTTTCCCTCTTTCCATCGCGTACCTCATTTGCGTTCACATCTTTATACGATAAAAGCGTAACCGGCGCACCTCTCAGCAATGTCGTCCCTATGTAATAGTGGCCTGTAATTAACGTGGGCGCGCCTCTTTTTGCTGAATCCTCTCACGACCAAAAACATACTTGTTCCCGTTCCCAGAATTGCTTAAATGACAAGTCATATCGAGAACTTTCAGCCGCTACTCGTCCCAATAGCTTAATCACAAATCATTATGCACGCAGCTGTCAAATAACACATGTATAATTGTTGTCAATATTAAAGTGATCTTAAACTATAATAATTTCATCAGACCATTTTTTTTATAAACAAAAATTAATAATTACTGTCACATAAAATTGGTAAGATTATTTTATGTTGCACATAAATAATTTTGAGTAGCTTTAAATATTCACAATAATTCAGTCCGTACCATACATAATGGAATTATGCGAGAGCAGCTAACAATGTGACGACCTGAGAACATGTCAACGAACGTGAAACGTAACGATGAAAACCGGTTTATGAAAAAGATTTCAGATCTGAAAGGGACAGCGCAATCGTAAAGCGAAGAGCGGAACGTCAGCATTGTGTATCTCGACAAAATCAGGTTAAAGATGTTCAACTGCGGCAGAATTTTATCGATTTCAAAGTTTATGCCGTAAAATTTCCAGAGATTTTCAAGAATGTTTTTTAAAAATATTCTCGCACATATTTCCACTCATCCGTCTCTTAATTCTTTGTTTCAGAGTGAAAGGCCATCCAGACAGTTCGAGGCATGACGAAGTACTGGCTGAACGTGGCCCTTCTCAGGGTCGTTCTACCAGTCATCTTGGCCGGATGTAAGTCCCATTCACATAACTTTTTGTTCTAGTATATTTTTCACTCTCGTATCTTGTAGACGGAAAATGGCTTGCGCGTATCCGTAACTTGGAAGTAATACGAGTAGATAATAATAAACACGAAGTATTTTTACACGTGAGGTTTGCACTATTTTGCATATCTGTTATATTTTTTGCGTATTTATTGCTCTCTCAATTAATGTGATTGCTGATATTTGTAATTAAATATGTTTCTCAATATCCTCGATAAAAAAAATTATAATTTTCTTTTTGTTATTAAATAACTACGATAAACTACCATCGTAGTTATTTAATAGCAAAAAAGAAAAAAAAATCTAAAAAATAAAAATGGTTAAATTTATGCAGTTTTTTCCCCACAAATATTAGATTTTACATATTTTATACATATAAATTTTATTACTCATCGTCCTCGTGTAGATATCTCATAACTATAACACAATATTTTATTATATTTCAATACTACTTGATATGTTTTAGACAGTTAAAAATATTTCTAATATAAAAAAAAATAATTTTTATTATAGTACTGCACGTTTATTGAAAAACTGCTTAATATGAAACATAGTACTATTGAAATAAAAATTCACTAATATAAAAGATTGTAGTCTTTTATATTACCGAAAATTTTTTTTGAAATAGAATGATAATAATGCAATCGATGATATTATACCTGTAACAGTCATTATTTCTGATAGATTAATAACCTTAATTTTTTGATTAATATACATATACATATAATTAACGACTAGTAAAACATAAAATGCCGATTTATCATCTTCGTAACAAAATAAGAAATAGAATCAAAAAATTCAACTTGAATTGGCTACTTACCTACATTTTGCATAACCATATTCAGTATTATGCTAATAATACTTAATAGTTACGCGATAGCAGATAAAATATTGTACATTTCACAATATATATAACTTCCTCTGATGAGAGAGATTGCGTGTGTACTATATATATCCTCTACGCATTTTATTCTATTTTTTACTTTTCCTATATTTTAATATCTATCGGTAAAGATATATTTACCAATTTTTAATAAATGTTTGGAAATATTTTGGAATGCTTTCTTTTATTTTATAATTATATTTATTAACTTTCCCAGTTTATTTTTTGTTTCACATTGTTCCATATTGACATCATAAATATGTGTCTAAGGGGCTTAAAGAGTATTCTAAAATTAGGAGCAAGCGCTTGAACTCGAGTATCCATATCACACGAGGGCAAGATTTACTAATTTTGTCAAAACAAACATTCGACCGTATATCGAATCACAAGTGTACAAAAGAAGCTCTAAGTATATGTCAAAGTATATGTTCTCTCATCAAAAATAGGATATATATATATATATATATACTTTCTAATTTGAATTTATCAAAATAAAGTTATTGTTTGATATAAACACGACGCATTTATTGTGATATTGCACATCTGAAAAATTCTTGATTATCTTACATAAGAATGTAAGAAATAATAATGTCAAAATCTAAATAATGTGAGTTATATTTAATATAACTTATATTTAATATAACTTACATTAATAATGTAAGTTATATTAAGTTACAAAGATAATATATTGTAATTTATCTATTTTTTAAATTTAGTTAAATTGTATTCTCCGCATTAAATTTAAAAATGTTTAACAATATTATCAAAATAATATTAAAAAATCAATTATATTTATCTATGTATTTGTGTGCAAAATAAATCAACATATAAACTAATTAAATAATATATGATGTAAAGAAGTTTCACGTAATATCAGATTATAATCCTCATAAAAATAAAATTCCGTTAAAATTTCGTGCGTGTAGCCTTATTTCCAGAGCCGGTTTCGTGCTGTGAAAGAAACTAAACTTATAAACCTTTGACCTTGTTCACCGAATATAAGAATTATATAAAGAAAGAGCCCCTCTCTCTTATATAATGATTTTAACGTCCTTGCTGCGATCATTATCAATGCTGCACGTGCGGACTATTGTAAGTTCAAATTAGTATCTTATATTTTTGGTAATCAGGAATTAAACTAAATTTGTTAATATCATTGCTGTGTGTAAGATAAAAAAGACAATCGGTTAATTACTCTATTTTTGATATTGACTTTATACATGTAACTGTTTCAAAAATAGATAATAATATATCAATTATTTCTTAGAAATATTGTATATAATATTAAAAATACAAGAATGATTATTATAAAAAGAGAAAAATATCCGCACCACAATATATGTACAAAAAAATATTGATTCAAAGAAAGAAATCAATGGCAATTGTTGCAATAATTAGCGGAATTTTGTGCAAAAGTCTGTGATAAATTTTGCTTGGCAGCCACACAATGTCGTTATTTAGGTGTGTCGGGCAAATTTAACATGTGCTACGAATAGAATGAGTAAGTTGCTAGAGGCGACTGAAAATGATACGATATTCGTGCGAACATTTTTAGAAAAGTTCAAATAATACAAATTCTAGCATGTTATAATACATCTGAACTAACGGACAAACTCACACTCATGAAACATTTAATACATAACGTTCCGAAAGTAATTATCATCGGCAGACCAAACTTCCCGCAATGATTAACATTAATTATCGCATATGTGTTTGCCATGCTTATATACCGGGTATTCATTAAATTAATTATAGATTATTATGGATACAATATGTACGTCAGAGAAATATATTTATCTAAAAAAACTAATTTTTTTATATTATCAAATTAAATACATATATCTATAATATATAAGATATTAAATATTGCATATAATATCTTAAATCAACAACCATATAAAACACTACATTTAAATATAAATTAATAAAAATAAAAGATTTTGTCATGACACTCGAAGGGATTGAAATGTCACTTCCTAGAGAGCATCGTTATTGACTGTGTGTCGAGTAACTCCAATCTCATCGTAAATGACCTTTTCACAAATGTAGGAACAATCATATCAACAGCTGCATGTGCTTTTTATGTGCTGTTATATGTCTCATCATAGAGGGAAGATATCTTCTATGAAGTTCTGAAGACAAAAGCAAACTAAATCATTTTATAATTGAAATAAGAGTTATGCTATCTTATTTCAATTATAAGATGATTAAGTTTTCTCTCTCTCTTTGTGAATGTTTCTATTATCTTGATTAAAATTAAAAAATTTATTTCCAATTTTTATTTTCTCTTTCTTTTATGTAACAAAAACGTTAAATTGACACTTTACATCTCCAAATTTCTATTTTTTAAATTTAATATCTCCTTTAGATCTCGTTCAGGAACTCTAGAACTCTTTAAAAAAGAACATTTTAAATTACATGTATGTGTGGCATCAAAAATTTTATTAATTATATCGCAATTCTAAAAATGGGATTGCAAATTTTATATAAATGAATTTTAATTTTACAGGTACAATATGGCGACCAGTGGGGCTGTCGATTATCTATCTGGGATTGATGTTATATTCTCCGATGGTCCCAATACCGACGCACAGAACTATGGCAGGTCACACGGGAATATACCTAAAGACTTGCATCTGCTTAGCCTTCATTATAGCCATAGCTCAGATCACCTTTCACATAGTTCTCTTGTCATTACCGCCCTACGGATACTTCCTGCAAAACTGTAAGTAACACTTTGATAAAAAATATATTATGTTATCTTCATATCTTTATATAAAAAAATTTAAACAATAAATCTATAAGTTTTCTAAATAAATAAATATATACATATACATATATAATTTTTCACTTAAATATTAAGATTAAAAAAATACATAATATCTTTAATTTGAAATGTTACAAATAAATTCTACACTTTCAGGCGAGTTCCTAGAGAAGCTTTTCAGACACATAGGCTTTGTCAGATTAGATAGCGCATCTGTATGGGAAATATTTTATTGGCTGACGCCGGAATTCCTAGTCTTACCCACCGTACTCACCGTATACTTTATATGTCGTTTTCTTACACAAAAACGTATTAGCGACGAGGAAGAAGAGCCTTCTCTTCGTCGGGAAAATAAGCAGAAGAAAACGGAAGATAGCACCACAAAGGTAATCATGTCTCCGTGCCTAAAAGAAAAATTGTATATTTAGTATAATTTCCTAATTAGTAATTAATATATTTAAAATGTCATATATATATATTTGCCTTATCCGAATTTTTCAATCAAGATTGCTTTAAATCGGTCCTTTACTCTAAACTGCACTCCCAACATTGTATTCCGCGAAATTAAAATCAATACCTGGCCGAAGATAACTTACGCCTACGCACATTCGTGATTCAGATAATCAACTTCCTGGGAGGTATCGGTACCTACGTCGTCCTGGCGTCATTGTGCTGCGTCGCGGCCTTGAAACCATCGATAGAAGCGGCTTTCTACTTCCTGGTGTTTCTCGGCGCCGCAACATGCTGGGCCTGCAACAAAGAATTGCGAAAGAAATTCGCCGTGATTTGCAGGATTATCATGGTTATCGTGATCGCACACATTGTCGCGTTGCTCGCATATCAAAATGAATGGCCTCAAGAAATTATTCCCGTATCCAGCGCTTGGTCGCGTTATCTGGCCCTGGCTGCAGTTTATCACACCAACTGCAGCGATCCGAGGAATGTGGAATATACAAATGATGCCGATTGGTTGATTTATGGATATGCTTTGAGACTCTTCTGGCTGTATTATGTCCTCGCGTTGCAATCGCAGTTTCTTAGTAAAAAACCGGTGAGTTTAGATATTTTTCAATTTAATCACAATTACAATATTGTAAAAAATGATTATTTCTTCTATATTCTAGTATTATTAATCAGAGAAAAAAAATATTATTTAAAAATGTTGAATTTATGCATAAATTTATATTAGAATATAGTGTATATAAGGATCATGTTACTAACAAAGTAATATTAGAGATTGCAATATCTTTAATGTATTTTTTGTTATTTAGAGTTTTTAGAGCGAGATTGTACTTTTAACGCTAATTACATTAGAATTATTTTTTTTGTTTTTATATTAAAAAGAAACATTTAGATTTAGATATACTTGTAATTATAACTTCTATAGATAAAGCTATAGTGTTAGTCTAGATAGATAAAAATTTGGTGTTGTGATTAATGGAACTTAATTAAAATAGCATTGCGATTAAATATCTTTGTATACAATATACTAAATTTTTTTATTGGGAATACTGTATCAAGCGGCATTTTCTCTCTCTATTGTTTCTTTTGGGTATACTTTAAACTTGAAGGCCCTATTCCAAGCCATACGCCTGTCTGCCTATTGCGTGTAACATAATTAACCTATTTGTGGATAAGGAATAATTAATATTAGCACCGCAAATAACAGCTGATCATCTAACAAAACCTTTAAACTAACTCAAATGTAACTGAGAATTTACTAACTACAAACTCGCCAAATATAAATCCATTTATATATTTCTTTTTTTTTTGCAAAATTACGAAGATAATGTCTTTGTAATAATATTTTAAAATTTATGATCAGATAAATATAACATCAAATTTATTATTATAATTATTATGGTTAATTTTAACCATAGTAATTATAATGATATGATATTATGTTTCTATAAATAAAAAAAAGATGAAAGTATGACTTAATTATAGAGAAGATAATTCAATATTTAAGAAAACATTTTTGAAAATTTCTAAATTTGATGTAATTTTGGCGATTCTGTCGATTATGATTTGTGGAAAACTTTGAAAATATTTTGCTTGTACTAACGAGGCATTACAGGCAAAGGAATCGAAGCGGTTAAGTGGCAAACTGGAGAATCTGGACACTCCATTGTCCAGACACGTGTCCATCAGACGCAGAACACCTTCTCAAAGATGGCAATCAGCGCGACGTAAGGCTCGCGTAAGGATTCGTCCCACATGAGCCAATTTGATATATGTACAATTGATGCTTCCATATTTTTGTGATTATGTAAAAACTCTTCCTTTTTGTCAGCTATATTTTATTTCAGATTTTATGTCACTGATACGGCATTGAATGTCAAGATTGCATAGTTTTCTATTTCAAACCCATTTTCCAATTGTTCACTTGTCCATTTCTATAAGAACGTCACTAACTTCTCGAAACTTTTGATATCGTCAAGCTTTTAAATATATCTGTTACGCATATTTAGTATATTTAAATTTTTTTTGATTGTCTTTATTTTTGATAACATTTTCACATTTATGATTATTTAATCTTTTAAATAATATCTTTAATTTTATCTTTAATTTTATTTTTATCTTTAATTTTTGTAAATAATATCTTATACTTGCTTATCGTGATTACATGTTATAATATTTCTCTTACGCTTTTTCATTTTATTTCTACTAATTATATATATATAATAAATCTTTTTTAGCATTTTTTTAAATTGTATTAAATATGCATCCAACAATGCTTTATTCACAATTTTGATTCGAGAAGGTTTTGACTTTAATCTCACGCAGCTTCATTTATCAATAAATCTCTGCTTAAATTTTCTTTGAGAATTAATTTTTTGTAAAAAAATTGTTTCGTCTATTTTAAAATATTTTTCGTATTCTTATTTGCTATCGCCTTTCAGATGTGCGGTTGTTGTTTAATGCTGAGCAAAATCTTTTTCCGTTTGGATGCTGCTATGTTTAGTTTGCGATTGTTTTAGAAGCCGGTCGTAGATTCGTCGTTACCAACAATCGACGAGCGAACGCCTGTACGTATATCAATTAAATATGCATGATTAATTAATTATTCGCTAACAATCCACTCTTCTTGTGCATGTGGTAAAAATAAACTCTGTCAAACAGTTCAAGATTTTATTCATGCAAATAATGAAACCCGACGTTTGCGCGAATTGATCTCGAAAATATTTACACACAAAATCATCACTCTTAACAAGATTTAGCAAACATTAATAAACTGGTGAAGGTAAATGCCTATTGTTACATACATTTTGTATGAGCCTGCCATTATTAGCATGATAGATCGTTAGAAAAATGTTAGTTTAGTAATAGTGGTACATATATATTGTATAATGTAAAGTACATTTTGTAGAAAAAGAATAAAATAATATTTTAATTATTATATTGAAAAATATTCAACAAAGAAGTAGAATGTTTTTTGTACTATACAGTTGATGCGGTTTGGATCCGGAAGAACGGGGCTTCTTCAAGATCCCACTACCGGAAGTATTATTGTTCAGGACGGTCATCAGGACGACAGCATACAAATGCAAAGTCTCAGTGAAGGTAATGATATAAATATTATAATATATGATAAATTTATGAATAAACGATTAAAAATCATTAATTAATTATCTTGTAAATTAGAGATGCCTGATGACACACCAGGTATCATCGAACAAATAATTATGGCAGTATACTCCATCTTCCAATTAATAGTAAACTCATCATATCTGGCTACAAACATAATAATGATGGTAAGCATGAGAAATCAGAAAATAAAGACTACGAACAAATAAATCGAATGATTGTCTTGTCATTTTTGTCATTTTTCAGACATGGAGTATAATGTATCACAGTTGGACGACATTCGTTCTGCTTCTATGGGCATTGATTCTATGGATGGTTCCCGATAAACGTGCTTCCATGATGAAGTGCTCTCCCTTCATCGTGTTCTATGCAACTCTTCTGCTTCTCGGTCAATATGTTTATAGTATGGATTTGAATGACGACGAATTGCCACGAAACGTGAGCTACATCGACATTTCTGAAATTGGCTTTAGCAAAGCTGATGAGCTTAGCCGTTGGCATCTAATAGTTAAGGTATAAACTATAATTATTAAAGTATAAGATATCTTTTATAAATAAAATTTATTTCTCTAATTAATAATATTTTTATTATTTAAAA